AGAATGGGGTGAGTCTCGTTGGTGTAGGTCGAGCATGGGCCGCTACTGTAACTCCTGTAACTCCTCCTCCGGCTGACACTTCTGTTGGAATGCCTGTTAAGATGTAAGTATCCGAAAGAAGGGATTGGAAGCTTCAAACTCTTGACTGCATGTGAAGTAAAGATTTTTTAGCAAATTACATGGATAAATAATAACATTGAAAAATAGTTTAAGAGTAGGTAGTACGACTTTCGAGTTTTGACAAACCTTTTGCAACACAAGATTGATGGCCATCTACGACGAGGCTTAAAATTGTCATTGACGACAATGTGATCTTTTGATCATTTTATTGACGAGATCTTCAATGAACACAGGAATTTCATCAAATAGGTCCCGGTGCAGTTGCATATTGCATTGCGTAAAGAAGAAAATCCGATAATATTTGAGCCACTTTAAGCTCCCTGAATCTTTCAACATGTCCAACATTGAACAAAATTACACACTGGGGCTGTGGGGCAAAACAGATCCAGTCAAAACATGAAAAGTGAAAAATAAAAGCAGCTGGCACTTCAGAATCACAAACAAGAACCACACAGAAAGAAAGAAATATTTTTTTTTTTTTTCTGAAGGCTCAATTTTTCTGTTATATAGATATTGGACTGACTCTTGACATTATTGATTATGCTAAAAAAGGATGAAAACACAATTGAGCAGTGAGCAACTGCAATTTTTGAAAACTAAGGCCTGATAAAACATGTCAATCATAAAAACTAAGCTCATAACCAAACAGCCAAAGCCAAGAGCTTAAAGTCGGAATTCAAAATATTGGTGCCAAGCTTAACACGAGTATTTAACAGTAAAACAATTTGGAGTTATCGAAACTTATCAGTGCTCGGCCGTGAGTCACGGCGTCCTTTCGGTCGAACGGCGGTCGGCGGCGGGTATCAACTGCCCTATTGGCCACGCCCAAGCCCGGAAGAAAAGTAGAAGAAGGCCTTCAGAAGGAAAGAACGATGGCTAGTGGGATGGAAGATTTTAATATGGGCCCCTGTTAATTACCTTAAAATAAATAGAGAAAATTGCACAATGTACAGTATATATCGGTTTTAATTATATAAATGAAACATCATTGCAAATATGAGCAAATATACAAGATCTCACATTTGTAATTGCAAAATTATCAGATAATTAAATCACTGCAATTAAAGGTGACTTATCACCTTCCAAACAATGAGATTTACTCTCTCTCACGCAATTTCTCTCTCTCTCTCCTTCTTCTTCTTCTTCTTCTTCTCTCTCTCACGCAATTTTAATAGGGGACTTGAAACGGAGCTCAGGCTGGGGCTTCCCGGAGGCGGCGGCGGCGAGGTGGAGAGGAACGAGATGAGAAGAGTGTTTTCGGATATCTCTAGCGCTGGTGGCAGCGGCGGGGAGGAGGAGGGGAAGGTAGAGGCGGTGGGAAGTAAGAATCAAGTGGTGGGGTGGCCGCCGGTGGCGGCTTACCGGAGGAAAAATAACTTCGGCTGGGCTAAGATGTACGTGAAGGTTAGCATGGACAGCGCAGAAAATTGGAGTTATATGTTCGGTATACATATGTATTCGGTATATATTCAGTATACATATATAAACCTAGAAAATTGGAGTTATTTTCAGTATATGTTGTGTATATTATGTTCGTATACATATATAAATCCAGGTATATGTTCGTATATAAATCCAGGTATATGTTCGTATACATATGTTTGGCTGGATCTGGTGTTATTTTTCTTTATATGTCTGTATAGGTTCGGTATATGTGCAGTATACATATAAACCCCATATATATATATATATATAAACATCAGATCGGAAAAAATCCCAGAAAATATACTACATATATACATAAACTAGTTTCAAAACGAAGATAATACCTAATTTCTATCAGAAAAAGAAACGGGGAAAAAGAAAAAAATTAAAGAGATGAAAGAGGAAGAGAAAGAGAAGCGAGAGAAAAATTTGGGAAGAAGAAAAAAATTAAAGAGAGAGAAAAGAGAAAGAGAAACGAGAAAGAAGAAAAAAGAAAAAAGATTTCTACCATATCTTATCTCTATCTATGACATTACTAAGCCTGATATACATACAAATATTTATGATCAAGCAGGTATCTTTGCAAATAAATTTTTTTGATTAGTACTTTTACAATTATTTAGGAAACAATATGGTAACTATGTAAATTCGCCTAAATAAATATATAAAAATGGCAGTGGGCCAAATCGTAAGGTATTGGGCCTGACTAGTGATCGGTGTGATACAACGTGGTATTGCAGGCTTAAGGACATAACTAATCATCCATTAAAAAGTAATTCCACCGAATATATAGAATTCCATATATGACTTAATAGGAAGTTATTTATTATACAACCAATTCAAAATTTAAATCAATAACTGATTTCTCTCTCATATTTTCATTCTCTCTCTTTATTTTTTCACGTATTTTCTCTTTTTTTCTCTTTCTTCTTCACCTTCTTCTTTTCCTTCAAACATGAATGTCTAAAAAACACAACACAAAAGGAAAATAGAAAATTAAATCCATTAACAGAAAATGGAAGCACATAAGATGGATGGAGCTACGACCCCACATGGGAAGAAGCTTGCAACCTACAAGAAATAGATTATATCATTAAGAAAACCAACATAGATCTACATAAATCCGGATCTAAGAAAAACGAAGAAAACAACATAGATCCAAATCAGATCTGGATCTATACACAGAACCAAGATCCGGATCTGGATACGAAAGAAAAAAGAACCAAATCAGATCTGGATCTATACACAGAACCAAGATCCGGATCTGGATACGAAAGAAAAAAGAACCAAAATAAGAAAAAAAAAACAGATCTATAGACCCTTTCTCAAGATCGTAATGGAGAGGAACCCCACCGTCAAAACCAGAACAAGAGCATCGTAATGAGGTTGATACGTTTGGAAAAAACCAGAACCAGAGCGTCGTAATGAGGTTGAAGGTTGATACGGTTGGGACTAATGTTATGATTCGCGAATTGCGATTTTGACTTTAGTCAAATCGCATTGGGGTATTTTCGCATTCGAAAAA